ACCTCAGCAGGACACCTCAGTGATTTTTTGAGAACCACAAAATTTGTTGTTTGCAAGCCCCGCTGCCCTTTCCAGCTGAGGAAAGTGGTAGTACCTGAAACCTTTTTACAAAACTGCACCTTGTGAGCTACTATTCTTTCCTTGGCACATTCAATTTATTATTTCACACATTCAGGAGAGGAAAAAAAAGAGGAGATCACAAGTAAAACTAAGAGAAGCAAATCCTAGAGATAGACACACAAGGTTGTCTGTAATTTGTCTTTCATGTTTCTGCATCAATCTCTAAATTATTTCCTTTTCTTCATGTGGAGGGAAAACCCCATAGAGGGAAACAACTGAATTTCTCACCCTCAGAAGAGGTTTTATTCCTAACAGTTATTCAGGTAGCAAGAGGCTTATCCACACCTGCAGAGAAAGTTACAAATCTGGAGTTCATAGAAAATCATGAAAGGATTTCATTGAAAGAAATGAAATATCAAAAATTGAAATGTAAGGGAAGGATTGGGAATTAGATGAAATCTCAAAATTTCATTTCCTTTCATGAAATGATGGATATTTTAGAAAGGAAAAGGTTTTCCTAGTCCTCTTGGCTCTTTAATCATGGCAGTGATTGCTCATGGCCAGAGCAGAAATGCAGTAGGCACTACCTATTAATTTAAATACTGTGGATGTGGTCAGTGAGACTGGACTTGCAAATTGGATTAAGCCTTCAGGCATAAAATTTCTGCTTAAGTGCTTTTTTATCACCTTCCCACCTAACTGAGGTAATGAATCATTGCAAAATCAGAATGCCGTTTATTAAGGTGTACCTAAAGATCTGTGAATGTGGGTTTTTCCCCCTCAAATGCTAAGCAAATAATAATTTGTCTTTTAAATCTCTACTTAGAATAATGGAGAATTAATGTCAGTTAAGATATTACTCATCTGTTCATTTCTGCAGGATTTTACTAACTTTTCTTATTTCTATGTATAACTCCAGAGAAGCAGAGAGACCAGTCATGCTCTCATTGTTAGAAGACATAAGGAAAGGGAACATCCATAAATGCCTCTGAGATGATGCACTGCACACACAAAGCAAGCAGCTGTGTACTGCTGAGCTGGGTGACATGGTTAGGGATCCAGATCTCAGCTATAGCTATGAAAATGGCATGAATAAACAATGTCTAGATAAAGGAGGAGGACAGAGCAGCTGCTAGCTTTAAGCCCTATGTAATTTATTTACCTTCATAGTGCCATGGGCTTGTTAGATTGGCCAGTGTCACAATCACCAAGTGTGCCAGTGGGCTAACGCTTAATCCCATTAGCATTAGCTGCTTAGTTTCTAAAACTGGAATTGAAATACTGGATGACAGTCTTGCTCAGCTTCATTATTTTAGCTAGACTTCTTCGTCAGATCTGAAAAACTACACAGCATGAAAAATAAATTCTCAAAAGAAATTAGGTTGGCAGGGAGTTTCTCTTCAGTCTTTCAAACTGCCTGCACAGAACAGCGTGTGTTTACCATGCAGAACAAGAGTGCAATTAGAGTACTTACATAAATGGCTTTCTAAATTGGCATTTTAAACAAACATTTCAAGGGGATCCTTATGAATACACCTATTATACTAATTTCAAACCATAAAAAAATCTAACTCCCTTTTTAAGCTACAGTACTTGTATAGGTTTCAGGAAGAAAACTTTGTTTCCTTTGTTTTTATTTATGATCTCACCCTTTCAAGAGTCAGAGTATTAGAATCATAAAGTGGAAGCAAATTGAGTGCTTGAGAAAAAAGATGAGAATCATAAAGCAGCACCTAACACAGCTCCCTCTTCACATGCTCGTCTCAGAAATGGTATAAATTCTTTTTCTACATTATCCACATGGTTCTAGGGAGAAGACATCCTGAGTTCTGTGGCACAGACATTAGCCGTACTACCTTAGCCTCTACACTGTTTTTCACAGTTCAGGAAGATAGTTCAGGAAGATAAACATGCCTTTGAATTTTAGTTTGCAGGGTATTTTTTTTAACAAATACAACTTCAATTCACTTAGTAGCAGTCAGATTTGTGTGCAGAAGCCACAGCTACTGAGGGAGAGGATACAAAAAAACCAACTTAGAAGATCCTTTGTTCCCTGGAACAGCTGGTTTTGGTTTAAAATGTGGTGCTGGGGAGAAGACTCTAAGCTGTGCATCTACTTATCGTCCTTCTATGTTCCTGAGGGCTGATTAAAATCAGAGGAGTGAGTGTGACAGGCAAAAGCCATGTACAGGCTGTTGCTAAAGCTGTAGCAAAACAGAAGCACTGCACATTTGTGCAAGTTCAGGAGACAAGAGGGGATGCAGTTCAGAGCAGGAGCTGGCCCTGTGTTTTCCAGTTCACTGCCAAAACCAATTTGTGATTCCCGTATTTTGCTGTTAGAGGGCAGCAGATATCCTAAGTTAGGTCTGTGGAGACCATGACCTAGTTCTGCCGGGGCTCTGTGGCACCTGCAATGGCCAAGAGATGTTGCCAAGACTCCTTTCAATCTCTGGTTCTGGCTACCTCAGAACATTCGAGGTTTTTGTTTTTCAGGTTAATATTTTCCATGTCTTACCTTTCTCAGCTCAGGCTTTTGTCAGAATTTGAACAGTTTTACAATCATCCTTGGGATGGCAATTAGTCAAAAATTTATCACTCTGCTAATGTCAGCAACAGCCCTACCAAGCATGCCTTCAAATTGTCGCCACAGGCCCCCAGCTGGGTAATAATCAGCACTGACTCCATGCTTCTCAGAAGGCTGATCAATCACTTTATTCTACTATACTCATTAAGGAACCATTGCCCTCACAGACAATCATGATACCGGTGGATTCAATTGCTCCTTCCATCTAAACACCATCACCACTGGCCAATTAAGAAACCACCCTCTGGTAAACAAAACAACAACAGGTGCAGCAATTGAAGATAAGAATTGTTTCTCATTCTTTTCTCTGATCTTCTCACGGCCTTTCCCTGGACAATGCCTGGGGAAGTTGTGCATTGCTCTCTGTGGCCAGAGAGCTGCTGCCACATCAAATCACCTGATGTTTCTAACATTTGGAAGTGAGATTTTTAGAAAACTGTAGTGCTGGACTGTAGACCTATTTTAATTTTTAGAAACATACTGTATTCACGGAATCCTTAGGGTTGGAAGGGACTTCTGGAGATCATCCAGTCCAACCCCCCTGCTGAGGCAGAGGGGCAACTCAGCTGGAGCAGAGGACAGAGGAATGAGTCTAGTTGGGGTCTGAATGTCCTCAGAGAGGGAGACTCCAGGATCTCCTCAGGCAGCCTGCTCCAGCGCTCTGCTACTATCAGTGTAAAGTTATTCCTCATGCCGAGGTGGAACTTCTGGTGCTTTAGGTTATGGCCTTATCCTGTCACTGGGCATCACTGAATTCTATGATAAAATCATGATAAAGCTACTTAAGCTTACTGAATATGTGCTTTTAAAGCTTGCAGCTATTCTATTAATACCATGCTTTTACTCTCTTTAGCAGGATACCTCCATGACCTTCTGCTGCTTCAGCTCTCATCATACATCTCTTACCTTAGTTGTGGGGGGAAAGCAAGGAAACAATCAAAAAATGGCTTAGGTTTCTGGAAGCCTTTTAAATTTCAACTCTTTCAATGGTGCTAATTTAAGAGTTAATTAAAATGTTAATCAAACCCCTATGTCCTGACCTAGGATCTTATGGCAGCTAAATCCTGCAGATTGAGTTCTACAGTACAGGAAATTTATCTTCAATTTAATTTTTGTCCATTTGACTACAGTGATTTCCAAAGGAAAACTCTCTGTATGCCTATCTCTGATACCTATAAATATCACTCTAGAAAAAATGGCATTTAATTGGTTCCTCTGGATTTTTAGTATAAGCAGCAGAAAGTTCAGACCCAAGTCTTCAAAACAAAAACTCTCTGGGGAAGTGTAAGCTCTCCATCTAAAAGTGGCATACAGAAAAAAGGGAACAGCTTAATTGTTGTTTACTGACTGCTTGAACTCAGCAGTCCAAGAAATCTGATAAATGAATCCGAGTCACGGCTCTCGTTCCACAGCAGTGTCATAGGGGCAAATGTGCTTTAAAAAATGATGCAAGGAACAGCACCAAGATCAATCTGGATTTACTTGTTATTATTTTACCTAAATAACCAAACATGAGATACCTGGAAATGCCACAATTAAGATCATAGCCAAGACCTGCAAGCACATTTCTTCCCATATCTCATGACTGATCCTCTGCCAACCAACTTTTATGTGTGAGGTAAGACAGACTCTACAGAAACCCAATCATCCCAAACACATTCCTGTCATATTCTCCATCTGTCCTGTACATCTCTGGAGAAAGCAGAACATTATTGTATGGGCCATATTGCAATGCACACATGTAAAGGAGAATGGAAGCTGTGCACAGAGCTTTAATTTTGACTTTTCTGAATCCAGATGTTTAACTTTTAAAGTGCTTGAATTCTACATTGTTTTAAAAAGAACACCACCTAGTTGAACCTGCATTGACCCAAAACCTCACAGGTCCTGATTCCTTTTCAATAGACCTCAGAAATGCCCACTGATTTGAGGAGAGGCAGGACCAAGCCTGTATTAAGATAACAGAGTGTGTGGGCTACTTTGAAGGTGCTTCCCAAAGCTGGTGGGGAAGTCACAACCCCTGTAGATTCTCCTCTGGTCACAGCAGTACTTTGATGGCAAGGCCAGCAGCATCTCCCCTGTCTCTTAGAAAATGGAAGGAGTTTCTGGTATCTCAGCCAGAATCATGCATATAAAAACCAATGTTTATTCCTTTCTGGCTTCTTGTCCTCTAGAAAGTATCACTAAACAGCTTAAGAGAGAGAGAGTGATAGTTTAAATAAGTCTGAGTTGTATTAAAAACTCAAGGGATGTCTTATTGCACAATAACTTCTTAGTGGTAAACACTCCACATAAAATTGCAGAAAAGTCAAGCTCTAACTTGCTATTTTAATAAATTAACTTTTTTTTCTTCCAGACAATGAAGATAAAAGCCCTTTTAGCGGTGCAGAGATTTAAAACTTTAGGTCTCATTAAATTTTGAAAGACATGTATAAATTAATCTAAATTGACTGATGAAATAAAATGTCTTGTGTCAGTGCAATTTCTTTAGAAATTCCAATTTGCAGCTAAAGGAGAACATTTCCAATCAGAAGGACTTTACCTAGATGCCTGTTACTCATTGCTGGATTTATTTAAATAAATACATTAGCACCTCTTGTGGGATATGGGGCATCTTGCTGGTGAAAATTGTATATAAAAGGAATATATTGGACTGTTGGACTACTTTTCCTTATTTTTGTGGAAGAGAAAGAAAATTCAACAATGAACTGATAGAAAACTTTTCTTTATGCAGGCCATGTTTTTAATTTGGAGAAAGCAGATGCAAACCTTTGAAAATCTGTGCCCAGCAGCATTAGTTAAGCAAAGAAACTATGGCAAAGGAGTAATCCATTTTAGTACAGGTGGATATTTGATGACCTCATGTGGGCACTTGCAACCCAAGGCCGTAGGGAGTAGTTCCAGCAGTTCAGCTGACCCTGCTGTGCCCCACAGGTTATTCCTACTCAGGGGCTTTCACACAAAAGTGTTGAGGAGAGAGTTTCTGCTGATCTGTATGGCCAGGCCAGTGTAAAAGAACTTACATAACGTAATGAACTTCTTTATTATTCCATATCTAGCCCTGTAAGTTCAGAATCTTACCTCATCAGATTTTGAGGGTATTTGTGTTATTTTATTAATGCAAACACTGGCTAGAAATTCAGCATCATCACTAAATATTCAATAGAAATGTGTGTGTTCAAGAGTAATTTCTTTCTCTTCTTTCCTGGTGAGTCTATTTTGAATACAGATATTGTTTCTTCCTGTGATTTTGTACATCGTCGATTGCTATTGCTTTGGAGGTATTATTCAAAAGCTTTCTGCTATACCAATAATAAGGGATCTGCCCAAAAAAGAAACCTTCTACTGTTACCTCATTTGGAGGTAACTGCTTCTCTTGGAAATCCTGCCCAAACAAACCAGCCTGATTAAACATACTGAATATAAATATTTCCTTACAAATACAGAAATTTAAGAAAGTCAGAGGTTTGCAGGTGCAACATCCACTCACAAAGCCAATATTTAATAAAATCCTGTCACAAGGGGTGTAACTGAAGTGTAGTCTGCAGAGAGGATTGTGCCTTGAGAAAGTTTTCATCTGGACAGTAACTGGGGGCCTTTCTTACAGGCTCAGCCTAAGCAAAGGTTATGTTTGGGGTTGAGAGAAAGAGAGAGCCCAGACAGCTGCAGCTGCAGTGGGGCTAGAAAAGAGCACCTAAAGAGAAGCATGGGCCATGGAGAGACCTGGGTTGTAAAAGCCTTTTTCCTGGGTAGTGACTAGTTGGCATTACCATTGCCATGTGTGGAAGGATAATCCTCAGATTATGGTTATTTTTAGTGGTAGGATTCAGGTTTGGGTTGAGTGTAAGCCTAGAGCTGCAGTTGGAGTAGGTCTGCAAAGGGGCTGCCAAAGGAAAGTATGATCTGTAAAGAGAATGGCCTGGGAGAAGTTTTCTAATGGGGAAAGAAATATGGGGCGAACATTGGCCAGGATGGTGAAATTGTCTGGTCTTCTGTAAAGATTATGCTCAGGCTCAGTGAATGGTAATCTGGCCCTGCCCTCATTCCTTTTCTGACATTTCTGCAGATGGTTAATAAGATAGCCCATTTAAACTGAATATCATATGGTTAAATATGCCAGTATCCTGAAGAACCAGGCCCCTGTACAAGTTTTATTCTAATCAGTTAAAGGAATTATTTATTACTTCACTGAATATCTCATTTTTCTCTTAAGCATTTCTTCCTGGCCTGGTAATTTAAGAACTTATTCCTTTTCCCCGGTCTCCTATTTTTCAAGTCCTTTCCTAATCCACTTCTTTTTTTCCTGATGCACAGGTATTACACCAAGGTCAGTGACAGCAACAACTGAGCTGTATTTTTGGTATGCATATAGTGTTATTAAAGAAATTAGTTCACGACTGCAGAAACAGCTCTGTACTAATAGCAGAAGCAACTTCTTTCATCTGAAAGCAGAAGAGAAAATGTCAATGTGCTGACTGGTTTGTTTTTTTGAATTTTGGTTGGTTTGTTTTGGCTTTGTTTAAACTGAAAGAACAGAACAAGAAAGGGAAAGGGAAAGGGAAAGGGAAAGGGAAAGGGAAAGGGAAAGGGAAAGGGAAAGGGAAAGGTTTCTTTGTACCAGTTTCTCTGTAGAGTCTGAGACTGTCCTGGAATCATTCTGCAGAATGATTCACTGAGACCAGCTTGCAGGTGGGGAATTAACAGTGATGCTTTCTCAAATAAGAGCTTCAACTTGCCATACAGATACAAATACCCTTAGATTTTCATAGTGTATAGCGCTGCATCCAGATGTGAACACCACTGCTGGTACTTATCTCCTGTAAAAATAAAGCTTAAATGTGAGTAGAGTAGATAGCAACAATTTGTTTTAATGTTTTTTAGCCAGTGGACACACAAACAGAAAGGTTTGGAGACATGTGCAGGTGCCTGTGGATATTTGTAGAATACAGCAGACCAGGAAGCAGAATCATACAAAACAACAGCATGGGTGCTTCATTTTCAGAATGATAGGAATATAAGAATTATATTAAATAAACAGAAAAGAAAGAAACATCCATTGCTTTGTGTCTGATCCTCCTCCAGAGGAAGCCTTACTCCATGCAATCTGAATTGCCACACACCTGCTGTTGCAAGCATGGGGGGGCTGCAGCAGACACAGGGATGATTATTCCCCAGGCAAAAGTTTCTGTCAGGTGTTTTAGGCTTGGTTGTGCATCACAGGTAGTAGAGAATGAAAGCCTGGAAGATGTAACTGCTCTTGGGGTATGCACGACCTCTCTGGTTCAGGAGAAAGAGCGGGTCCTGGCCTGAGGTTGCTCCCTCCAAAGGTGTCCACCTACACCTCTCACCACCAAATGTGCTCAAGTAATTTCAGAAAAATGAATGCCATGAGGATAAAGGAGCAGTGACTTTTAGAAGGCATTTTTATTGTTTGGTTGCCCCGACCTAACTGAATGGGGAAATATAATTTGAGCAGACAGCCAAAATACCCACTAATTGACTTTAACTTCCCCCAGTGTCACCCTTGGAGCCGGCTGTAGCTGGAAATAATTAGTTATAGGAGACTAAAACTAAAACTTCACAGTTTTATTTTGTAACTACTTTTGTCCTACTTGACTACATTTCGGAGCCAAGGGAATGAACCTGTTTGCATTTTGCTGCCAACTCTGGCCTACCAGGAAGAGCCTTCTATGGCTGCAGATGGGAGGAATGTAACTCAAATGTCAAATCATTACACCAGATTAAAATGAGAGACACTGAGTTTTACAGACCACCAGCAGAATAAAAGCCTACAGCACACAAATGTAAACCAGTAGATGAAGCACATTCCTTCAACCCAGGGAGTCAGAAAAGGAACAGAGACGACAATGCTCTTTTGCCTCTGTACAAGGCTGTTCCAGGTATTACCCCATAATCCCTCCAGAAATCAAGGACAGTTTTACTTATGATCCTTAGAGGTGACAGGCTGGGATTTTATTTTTACAAATGGAAGATTAAAAGCTTCAATGCAAGCATACTAAGATCACACAGCTGCACTGATTCCCCTTCCCAGGGAGACAGGAGGAGCCCCAACACCACCCACTGCCAGCTCCTACAGAGGAGATTTCCTTTCTCTGTTTCTTTTAGTGGATGAACAAAAGGGAGGAAAGGAAACCCAGTGCAAATAGACTAACTTAAGGAAACCAGAGAGGTCCTGGCCAAGCAGGGAAGTAAACTTGCACCAGTATTCCATTGAGAACAGTGTCTTCCTTTGGAATCCAGAACATGTCTTTTGAACTAACTGCAATTTTCTTATCATTTGGGATTTTTAATTGCTCTAAATGTCTAATCCTGCATGTTCTCCACATACTCATGTAGCTCATGTCCCAGCTACCTGCAAAGACTGCAAACATATGAGTTTTCTAGAGCTCTCAATGCGTCCCATGCCTCTTAATAATTCAGCTGTTGCCAACAGGCACTTCAACCACAAGGGAACCTGGAATACAACAGTGCAACCCCCCTAGCTTTGGGGATGTTTTACTGTTTCTGCCACATGGGAGAAAGTCCCTGCTCAAGAAACTTCTGAATGCATGAGAACTTTTTCATTTTGCTAGCCTGTATATGCATTTCTCTTCACGAGACAAGCTCCTCAGCACAGATATACTGTTTTACACTATCCTGGTTCCAGATCAGGTCACTGTGCAAAGGGAGTGGGCAGCTGGCTCAGCACGTTTGACTGACAAACATATCTCTACCTTTCTCTAAACATTATTTTCAGTTCACCTGCCCTTGTTCTGAACCACAAACCTCACCTCTCCTGAAGAAGAGACAGCCCTTATCCTCCTGCCTTCTTACCACCTCTACAATTGCACTGCCTTCACTCCTAAAGAGGAGGCAAGCCTTGAGTGTTGCTTGTTATTACCTAAACCACATTGCAATCCCTCCCAAAATCACAGCTTCCCTCTTCCAAAGAGAATTCCCTTTTGACTCTAACATTCTCCACTCCCGGCTTCAAGCCTCCACCTTTCTCTCAGGTGGGTGTAATTTAGGTTTAACACCAGCTTTGTTTGATTTCTCTTGGGTTTTGGTGAGATTTTCTTTGAACTTTGAGTCTCTATTATTCAAAATAAATTAGTAGGCAAGGCATTACTATAAAAAAACCTCCTCCATGAAAAGTCGGTTTTATTTAATTTTCAGTACAAAGATGAAAGTTGTGTTGCCTTTCCTCTTCTTTAATTAAGTCTAGGGTCTTCCTGAACTTTATTTAATTATATCATAACAGGACTATAAGAAGTGATCTTTTTTTTGTAATTTAGAGTGACCTCTCTTGAAATGAACTTCAATAGGTTTTGAAATTCTTTCTTGAAATAAAGTTACACAGTGCCACTTCTATCCAAATCTACTGCATACAGAGAGAAGTTCATTGCCTGTTTAATATATCTT